GCACAGGGAAGTGGTGCTGTGGCTCAAGCGGTAGAGCGCTCACCTTGAGCTGAAGGGCACAGGGACAGCGTCCAAGCCCAGAGTTCAAGCCCCACGACTGACAAAAAAAAAAAAGAGAGAGAGAGAGAGAAAAATAATGCTTCTTGCCAGGTGCCAGTAGCTCACACCTATAATCCTAGCTACTCAGGAGGCTGAGATCTAAGGATCGCAGTTCAAAGCCAGCCCAGGCAGCAAAGTCTGTGAGACTCTTATCTCCAATTAACCACCAGAAAACTGGAAATGGCACTGTAACTCAAGTGGTAAAGCACTCATCTTGAGCTGAAGAGCTCAGGGATAGCACCCAGGCTCAGAGTTCAAGCCCCATGGCTGACAAAAAAAAAAGAAATGCGTCTTAGCGAGTGTGGTAATTTTAGCACCCAGGAGGCTTGAGGCAAGAGAATTGAGAGTCCAAAGTCATTTTTTTATTACCAAAAAAATTGTAATCTCTTTGATCCATTTAGAGTGTGAACCCATTTTGTTGTTGTTTGGAATCTGGTCATAGTGAGGTGGAAAGTCCAGTGTCCTCTCTATTCAGTTCTTCACTCCTCATACTAGATGTCTCAGGAAGACCCACTAGGTTTGCAACAGTTTTATGTCCGTTCTGACGCTGCCTTAGGGACTTAGTCTCACAAGTTCACCCCACTTCCAACACCAGTCCTGACTTCCAAGCCAGTCCCTGTGCTTCTGGCTATAAATTGGAGACTCACAACCTTCTCAGGTCCAGCTATCTGGTAGCTCCAATACTCAGGGAAAGGCTTTCCAGATGTCTTCTGCTTTACTACAGGAATAGCTGGTGGAAGATGTGCATAGAACCATTCTATGTCTGAATCTTGCCCCTGCAGTCCTCTCTCCAGACTTTGAGATAGGACTGAAAGTTCCAAACCCTCTAACCACTTGGTCTGTCAGGTGACTAATGAAGTGGAAACCCTCCAAAGGCTTTCAAGGATCTAAATCACCTCATTAACATAAGTCTCAGTGTGATTAAAAAGGGTTTGTGTTGAGTAACCTGGCACTTCTTTCACTATTGAAATTCCAAGGATTCTAGGGAATTTTGCCAGGAACCCTGCATCAAGATCAAATACCTTTTCTATTCTACTGTACATCAAAAAAAAGTTAAAAGGAAGAACACACTAAAATATTAGCCATGGTCAGTTCTTTGAGGCAGGGTTAGGATTAGTTAGTTGTTAGTTGGCTGATATTTGCCATTTTTTCCAAGGTTATCCTGTTGGATAGGTACTGTCATCAGACTAGAATGTGCTGCAGGAAAGACCTAGCCTGTTAACTTGCTTGTTGCCAATGGCATTTGCACACTCTTAAGTTGATGGCTCTTGTGTCTCAGGGTATGAGGTCATGAGTCACCCATAGAACAAGCCTTTAAAAAGTGTGAACTGCTCTATTTTTCTGCTATTATAGAATGTGCTTTCAAATATATTACAGACTTAATTGTTTGAATTATCTAGAAGGAATTATCTAGAAGGAATAAAACTCAGCTAGTCATATTCCTTTGCTTTAAAAGCCATTTCTAAGCCAGGCACCAGTGGCTGACACCTATAATCTTAGCTACGCAGGAGGCTGATTCAAAACCAGCCAGGGCAGGAAAGTCCTTGAGACTCATATCCCATTAACACCCAAAAAACTGGAAGTGGTGCTGTGGCTCAAAGAAGTAAGGTGTTAGCCTTGAGCAAAAATTGCTCAGGGACAGTACCCAGGCCCTGAGTTCAAGCCCTACAACTGACAAAATAAATAAATAACATTTCTTTTTTTTTTTCTTTTTTTTGGGGGGCTTGAACTCTGGGTCTGGGCGCTGTCTGTCCCTCAGCTCTTCAGCTCAAGGCTAGTGCTCTACTACTTGAGCCACACCACCACTTCTGGCTTTTTCTGCTTATGTGGTACTGAGGAATCAAACCCAGGGCCTCATGCATGCAAGGCAAGCACTCTACCACTGGGCCACCTTCCCAGCCCCATAAAAAACATTTCTATATAGATATTTCTCTATAGAAAATATCTATAATATATTTATTCCTAGCTACTCAGGAGGCTGAGATCTGAGGATTGTGGTTCTAAGCCAGCCTGGGAAGGAAAGTCCACCAGACTCCTATCTCCAATTAATCACAGAAAAAGCTAGAAGTGGCACTGTGGCTCAAGTGGTAGAATGCTAGCCTAGAGCAAACATGAGCTCAGAGACAGTGGCCAGGCCCAGAGTTCAAGCCCCAGGACTAGCCCCCCCCCCAAAAAAAATATATATCAGTGCTTGTTTTGGCAACACATATACTAAAATTGGAACAATACAGAGAAGATTAGCATGGCCCCTGTGCAAGGATGACACTCAAATTCGTGAAGCGTTCCATATTTTTTCTGGTTTTATTTCCCCATGTTAAAGCATGATTATATTTCTGGTCTAAATCCATCAGCTCATGGCCCATTATGTTTTAACATACTATGATTCTCTCTGTTAGATTAACTTAAAATATTTGCAACTGTATATTGGTAAATTGTATATTGGTAAACTGTAAATTGGTCCATAGTTTCTCCCCAAGAGTTACCATTACCTTGTCTAAGTATCAACATTATAAATAAATTCATAAGAAAAATGAAAAATGTATAAATCTATATATTGACAATATATAGATATTTCTCTATATAATATAGATATTTCTATATATTTATGGAGATACATGGAATAACATGGATGATATCTAGAATATGCTTATAGAAAAATATATGCAATATTTAATCCTATAAATAACAGTTAAATATTATTTTTTATTCATATTTGACTTTGATCATCCATTTTAATTTAACAGTCCATCATTAAATGACTTGTTGCCTTAAAACTCTATCACTCCTTTAGCTTTTTGGTTCTTTCCTTCCTTTCTTTTACTTTTTTCTCTTTCCTTTTTTTTTTTTTGTATGTGTGTTCTGGTACTTAGGCTCAAACTCAAGGCTTCATACTCTTGCTTGGCTTTTTTGCCCAAAGCTAGGGCTCTACTGCTTGAGCCATAGCTCCACTTCTGGCTTTTTGCTGGTTATTTGGAATTAAAAGTCAAATAGACTGTATTGCCAGGACTGGCTTCAAGCTCTTTTTTTTGGGGGGGGGGAGGTAATCAATCAAGGGGCTTGAACTCTGTACCTGAGCACTGTCCCTGAGCTCTTCTTCAGCTCAAGGCTATCTACCACTTGAGCCATAGTACCACTTCCGGCTTTTTCTGTTCATCGTGGTACTGAGGAATCAAATCCAGGGCCTCATGCATGCAAGGCAAGCACTCTACCCCTGAACCACCTTCCTAGCCTTTGATCCTCAGATCTCTAAATAGCTAGGATTATAGTCTTGGCCACCAGTGTCCAGTTTTTTGTTGTTGTTTGCAACAAGGTTTTTCTGTGTAGCTCATGCAGCAATCCTCCTGCCTTGTCTTCTAGAATGCTGGTGTTATAGGTATGTACCACCATGGTCAACTTAATAGTGCTTTTAAAAATTGTTCTGCATCTTCCCTTTCCTCGGTAGTGTTGGATACCAATGATAGATTCCTGAGGAAGATCACCATTGGACAGGCTCCAACAGAGAAAGGATACACACGGACGGTAACTATTTGTTCCTTCCCAAGTAATTCCTTCATGTGAACTAGCGCTTGCTGCTTCTGTCCTCCTCCATCCTCTCCCATACGACTGATACTGCCAGGTGTTGTTCTGCCTTCTCCCTTTTAAAATGGAAGTGAGTAGGTGTGGTACTAAGCACTCCTGACAGCTTTTGCAGTAAATCCCATGTGTCACCTGTGTGTTTTTCCCCCAGCATTTTTTCCTGGAGGTGGAGAGCCTCAAGTGAATGTCCTTGCATTCAAATTGATGGCATTTGCTTCTTTTTGTGGCCATTTGGCAGTATTTCTCTTCAGTGTAGGAAACCATAACCACCATTCAAAGCTGCCTTCCTGGAGAGAAAATAATTGTCATTGGTCAAACTGAAGCATTGTGTTGAAAATTGACTACTCAAGGTTGTGGACTCATTAATTGCCAGTTTTTTGTTTTTTTCGGGGGGGGGGTGGTCTGGTCATGGGGCCTGAACTCTGGGCCTGGGCGCTGTCCCTCAGCTCTTCAGCTCAAGGCTAGCACTCTACCACTTGAGCCACAGCGCCACTTCTGGCTTTTTTCTTTTTGCTTATGTGGTGCTGAGGAATCGAACCCAAGGCCTCAGGCATGCAAGGCAAGCGCTCTACCACTGAGCCACCTTCCCAGCCATAATTGCCAGTTTTTACTATTGGAGAATTCTTTTCATTAAGGTGCTTGTGTGTGTTGCTAGTTCATCCTTTCAAGCTATGTTTAAACCTTAAAACCTTAAAAGCCAAAAGGGATGTCTATTGCAATTCATGCTTCTTGGCTATCCCAAAGTTCTGCTCTCATCTTTTTCCCTACCTCTAGGCCCAGTTTGATATCTCTGTGGCCAGTGAAATTATGGCTGTCCTGGCTCTCACTAGCTCTCTGGAAGACATGAGAGAGAGACTGGGCAAAATGGTTGTGGCATCCAGTAAGAAAGGGGAACCCATCACTACTGAAGATCTGGTGAGTGCCTGGCCATGCCAGCAGGGTGACACTTGAGGGCCATGGTCTTAGGGTTTCTTAGTGATGACTGAGAACAAGAATTCTGCTATATTTAAGATGTTGCTAGAAGTCAGGGCTGGTAGCTCATGCTGGACTCCTAGCTACTCAGGAGGCTGAGTGCTGAGGATCGAGGTTCTAAGCTAGCTCTGGCAGATAAATCCAAGAGATACTTATCACCGGTTAATAAGCAAAAAGCCAGAAATGGAGGTGTGACTCAAATGGTAGAGTGCCAGCCGTGAGGTGGGAGATGGGAGTCGAGCAAGAGCTTGAGGCCCTGAGTTCAAGGCCAATTATGGCACACACACACACACACACACGGTCTATTGTTAGAACTCATCAGTTCATTACAATTTTGTTTATTACAAGATGATTATGAACTTTGTAAAACATTCTTCATAGTGAGTAATCAGTCAGTAGTGTGTTCCAGTAATGAACCACAAGTTCCAGGTAATTTGAATAATGCCTTCATCCTGGAAGTATCTCCCCCCAGCAAGCATAAGACTGCAGTTTGCAGAGAACACCTCCAATCCTATAAAAGTAAAGCCTTCTGTTGCTGACTTTTCTGGCCCCTCCCCACCACTCTCAGCTCCCTGATCAGAGGCCTTTGTCCTGAGGCTTGTTGGCTATGCCTCCTTGCTGATAACTCCATTTGGAACAGCTCAATGGCCAGTTTGCTGATGGTCCTTCCAGGCTGTTTCTTGACCTGTGTATTATTTCTGAACTAACTATGTTCATTTGAGTTTTGTGATGAGAAATCTTAGAGATGAACTTTTTTTCTTTGGTGATGGTATTAGGGTTTAAACTCACAGTCTCTCGCTTGCTTGGCAAGGGTTGAATCATATCCCCAGCCATTTTTTGCTTTTAGCCATTTTTCTGATAGATTCTTGCCTTTGCTTGGAGCTAGGATAACAGGAGACCACCACCATTCTTTTGCTTGCTGATTGAGAGCGAGTTTAGATAACTTTTTACCTAAGCTGGTCTCAAATCATGAAACTTCTGATCTCCACCTGCTGTATAGCTGAGATTTCAGGCATAAACCATTATTCCTGGCCTTAATTTTTTTTTAAAGCCTATCTATGTCAACACAGACTAGATACTTGGCCTGTGATAGTGATAGTGGTATAGCAATTTATGTGTTTCAAATTTTAATACCCAAGCCTTAAATGTAGAAATTCATTAATATTGAATGTAAATTGCTTTATGCCCAATTATCTATTATCCAATGAAGAACCATTGCTTTATCTTACTTTGTCACTAATTTGTTTGGATGACTTAAAAGATACCTGCTATATAAGAGTTGGAATTGAACTTCTGGGTGGTATTTTAGTTTCAGCTATGGGAAACACATATTGAATCTGCTTTGTACCCATCTCGGCCCAGATACCAAAGTTACAAATAACTCAGCACTCTGGGAACCAGCACATCTGTGCTCTATACTCATTTTTAAGTGGATTCCCCATATCAGTCATCAACAGAGCTTGATTGAGACATTTGTTTCCACAGTTACATTGCCTTTTCAGAAAATGCATATGAATGCCATTTTTATTCTACTTGTTTTCCTTCCTTAAAATAGCCAGCATTTTCTCAGTGTTTCCAAGGGGAAAAAACTTAATGGTCTAAGTTCCGGCAAAAATACTAACTGTCCAGAATGGAGAGAAGACCTAGAATATGGACTGTTGGTTCCTGCTAGTATGAGCAGATGCTTCATGTGTGTGTTTTGTAGGGAGTGAGCGGCGCACTGACCGTGCTGATGAAGGATGCAATCAAGCCCAATCTCATGCAGACATTAGAGGTGAGAAGAGTAATTCCTGTGTTCTAGAATGCTGCTCTACATTCAGAAGAGAGGGGTTATAAAACAGAATGTTTTTCTATTGCTCAGACTCTTCTCATTTGTTCTTATAGTTACAATTGGGACAGCACTGAGCTATCAAATAGGTGGCTTTGGGACTGGGAATATAGCTCAATGGTAGAGCATTTGCCTCACATGCACAAGGGCCTGGGTTTGATCACAGCATTGCCAAAAGAAGTGGTTTTGTGTTTTCCCTGGGGGAAATTGTCTTTGAAATTCCCACTGAATTCTCTACCATTGGTTTTGTGATTTCCCACCCCCAACCTCCATTTTGACAGTTTCGCTTCCCATGGTCTGGTTTCTACAGGGCACTCCAGTGTTCGTTCATGCGGGACCCTTTGCCAACATCGCGCATGGCAATTCTTCAATCATTGCAGACCGGATCGCACTCAAACTTGTTGGCCCAGAAGGCTTTGTAGGTGAGGATTTTCTGACATCATTGAGTGGATCCTTTTTTCCTCTCAGTACCTGAGGAGTTGGAATGGCATTTAAAAAAATAATAGTAACAATCTTACTGTTACTATTAATGTGTTGTACAGAGAGTGGAATGGTATTTTTATAATTGCTCCTTCTTTCTTACAGTGACTGAAGCAGGGTTTGGAGCAGACATTGGAATGGAAAAGTTCTTTAACATCAAATGCCGCTACTCTGGACTCCGCCCTCACGTTGTGGTGCTCGTTGCCACTGTCAGGGCTCTTAAGATGCATGGCGGAGGCCCCACGGTGAGGGTCAAATCTGATTACCAGGAGTGTTCTAAAGGCCTGAAGGAAGTTGAAAGACATGCCCTCAGCTGCATTAAGCTCAGTGACGAATTGGGTACTAAAAGAAAGCGGTGGTCAGCATACCATCTTATGCTGCCCCCCCACATGGCAGCTCCCCGCATTTTAAGAAGGCCCAAATTAGCTTCCTGTCTTTCTTTCTGAGGAAAACATCTGATATCCACACCCCTCCAAGCACTTGTGCAAGACTGTGCTCAGAAAACTCCTTCTGCAGCCTGTGCCCTAAAATCTGAATCTCATTTTCTTCCTAAACAGTGGCTACCAGCCAGCCAACCAGACTTTGAAGCCCCTGAGTAGTTTACGCTAGACTGAGCCTCTGACAGCCAGCCAGTCAGATACGGACGGACGGGAAGGTGGGAAAGGGATGACCATGAGGGCAGGTCAAGGAGAATGGCAGATCCGTTCAGAACTGCTGGGTGGCAGAGAGAAGCAGAGGGAAGGCTAACTTCAACCTGATGTCCAGATTTTTGACTTCCTTCTGCATAGAAATTGTTCTTTTTGCCATGTTCCAGTGGCTTCTATCTTCAATCTCGGGAGACTAAGGACCTCCATTTGAAGCCAGCCCAGCTAGAAAAGTCCCCAAAACTCCAGCTCAAATAAACCAGCAAAATACTGGAGTGTAGATGAGGCTTAAGTGGTGGAGTACTGGCCGTGAGCGAGAAGCTGAGCAGAAGTATGAGACCCCAAGTTCAAATCCCAGCACTGCCCCCCAAAAAGAAATTGTACTTTCGTATATTCTAGCATTTTAGCATTTTTTCATCAGATCAACATACAAAGACATGATAGTAGTGTTGGGGAATCATTGAAATATGAAATTTATCCTCATGTAGAAGTTCTCAAGTGTTTTACCCTCAAACTTTTTGTTTGTTTTTCCAGTGTTGGAGATCAAGCCAGGGCCTACCCAACACGTGCTTGGCAAGCGCTCTACCACTGAGCTGCAGCCCCAGCTCCTCAGAAATCTCTTCATAATCTTAATTACTGAAGGCTTTCATGAGCTTTTGTTTATTGAAGCTTTTGTTGACATCTAGTTGGAAATAAAAACTGAATTATAGGGGCTGGGAAGGTGGCTCAGTGGTAGAGCGCTTGCCTTGCATGCCTGAGGCCCTGGGTTCGATTCCTCAGCACTACATAAGCAAAAAGAAAAAAGCCAGAAGTGGTGCTGTGGCTCAAGTGGTAGAGTGCTAGCCTTGATTTGAAGAGCTGAGGGGTAGTGCCCAGGCCCAGAGTTCAGGCCCCACAACCGGACCCCCCCCAAAAAAAAAAAACTGAATTATATATTAATATACAAAACATCCTTAAGCTGGGCACTGGTGGCTCATGCCTATAATCTTAGCTACACAGGAAGCCAGAAATGGAACTGTGTGTGTGTGTGTGTGTGTATGCATGTGTGTGTGTGCGTGTGTGTATGTGTGTGTGTATACGTGTGTGTGTGTGTGCGCGCACGTGCGCGCGTGCTAGGCCTGGGTACTGACCCATAGCTTTATTTGTTCAAAGTTGGCATTCTGTCACTTGAGCCACACAGCTCCACTTCTGGCTTTTGGTGTTTAATTGAAGATACGAGTCTTGTGGACTTTCCTACTCTGACTGATTTTGAACCTCAGTCTTAGCCTTGTAAGTAGCTAGGATTAGTAGCTAGATCTTATCCTCCTAAGTAGCTAGGATTACAGGCATGAGCTATTGACCCTTAGCTAAGTTATATTTTCTGAAACAGGATGTAGGCATTGTTGAAATGAAAACTAAGTTACTCTGTTTTCTGGATGTTGTGTATTGTCCATTTCTCAGATCTTCTATATCTGGTTAACTGAAGACCATTGAGTTGTCATCTTCTGCCTGTGATCAAGTGTGATATCACATGTTGTTTAAATGAAGGAATCAGGGTAAAAGGGCAATAGAATCTTAGCTTTATTCAGGAAACAGTTTTGGTTTCGTGGGCCTCTGGAAGTCCTAGGTCCCTAGGCCGCCTCTGAGCACACTGTCCTAACACTCTAGCACACTTCTTCATGTTCTAGGTCTTGGTTTCCCCTAAGACATCCAAAAGCACTCCCAACCTAGAATTCCCCTTGCCTCCAGTCCTATAAGGTAGACTCCCTTTTCTCCCTTCCAGTCAACAATCCTTTCTTCCACTCCCTCTCATCCTCATATCCTGGCATTTCCTTTCCTCCCCTCACTTCATGGGCTGAACAGTAACAATGATGGACACCTCCCTTGGCCAGTGCCACAAGGAGGCTTTGCACATAGAGCTCTCCCAAGGAGCCAGACCTGCTGCTTGTGTTACCTTGCAGAAAGGAAGCTGCATGTAAAAGGACCTGCTTCCTGCCCAGCCTCTACATGGCCCTCCTGGGATTTGAACACCACAGCATCCCCATCATCCCTGAGGAGTGGGGGGGGGAGCTGCAGGGGGCTGAATTGGAAGCTACAGTTAAATCTATGGGTCAGTGCCTTACCCCCTTATTCATCCCTGTGGATGCTGCAGAGCTCAGTCACTAGATCAGGACCAGGTGCCTGCGCACAGTGAGCCTGCTGCTGCATTTGATTACCTCTGAGTGTATTCTACCATGGAAGAAGAAAGTCCTGTTGTTTTCCCTCTTGTTTGCATTGTTCCTGTGCCACAGTTGAGCTCCCCCAAGGCATGGATCACCAGCCCATGAAAGCAGACATTGCAGGGTGACACCTACCCTTTCTCCACACTCACCTTTACGTCTACCCACGGCTGTGTTCTTCACTCACTGTGTCTCTGTCCTATCTGAAACACCTTCCTTTTTTCCCTCATGTTTGTAGATCTGTCTTTCTGGCTTCCCAGGTCCCAGGATCACCCACTATATTCAGAGTAGCTCTTCTTTTTTTTTCTTTTTGGTCAGTCATGGGGCTTGAGCTCTGGGCCTCAGAGCTGTCTCTCAGCTCTTCAGTGCAAAACAAGTGCTCTACCACTTAAGCCACAGCACCACTTCCAGTTTTCTGGTGGTTAATTAGAGGTAGAGTCTCACAGTCTTGATCCTGCCTGGGCTGGCTTTGAACTGTGATCATTAGATCTCAGCCTCCTGAGTAGCTAGGATTACAGGCGTGAACCACCAGCACCAGGCTAGCGTAGCCCTTCTTGTTCTGTTCACTAATGCCTTAGGGAGAGAACAACATCGCACTGCCGTGTCTCTCCAAGCATGCACCCCTCTTATCTGACACTATTTGAAGCTAAAGTCTAATTGGAAGATAGAAATGCACCTAACTTTGTTTCCTTTCCTTCCAGGTCACTGCTGGACTGCCTCTTCCCAAGGCTTACACAGAGGAGGTAACTGCTATTCTTTCTAAACATTTGTCCTAGAAAGCACCCCTTCCCCAAGTCAGTATTTCAGACCTGGTCCCTGGTGGAAATAAAGATGGTGGTGCTGTGACCCAGGGTTGTTCCTTGACTGCAGGATGCTAAAAACCCACAGTGTGCTGAAGAGGATTAAATGATGAGCACTAAGCCTGGATTCAAGGGCTGCCGTACAGTCAGTTGTGAGCTCAACCTTGTGATACCAGTATCATTTTCCATCAAACATCCCGGAGCCGCCCATCGGAACGATTATATAAGAAACAAGCCCTTGAGTCAGTTGCTGTCACTGTTAATTCAATTTCCCTGCCTTTTTCGAGGCTTTTACATTATCAAACAATACAGGGTTGCTGCCGAGGCCCCAAATGAAGTATTTCAAAATCAGCTAGAAAAGAATTTGTTGGTGCCTTGAGTCTGCCTGTCTTCCTTATGATTTGCCTTTTATGGTCATCTGTCTGATTCACGCGTGGGAGGGGAATTCACAGTTCTGGCCCCCTGCTACCCCACAGCCTTTCCTGTATCTAATTACAGCAACTGCCCCGAAGTGGCCCAGCTGGTGTCTTCTTTGAAGAAATTCTCCTTTCTTAAGCTGTTCTCAGTCAGTCTTAGATATTTGCTGGGATTCGTGTGACCAGTGGTAAAGAATTAAGGATGCTTCTTCGAGTATCAAGCTAATCTTAATCTAGCTTTATGATGGTCAAAGGGGAAAAGCAAAAACCACCTTCACAAGATCCTAGTTGTTTTCTGCCTGTACCTAATACCTATTGCTATTTGGGGGAATCCAAGCACTAAATACTGCTTTACTTAGGATATATTATATGTATTTTTTATAGATCATTGTTTTATTTATTTGTTTGTTATTTTTTTGGTGCTGGTCCTGAAGCTTGAACTCTGGGCTGAAACTATTCCTGAGCTTTTGTGCTCAATTCTAGAAGTCTACCACCTGAGCCATAGCGCTACTTGTGGCTTCCTTCCTTTCTTTCTTCCTTCTTTCCTTCCTTCCTTCCTTCCTTTCTTTATTAGTGATTAATTAGAGGTTAAGAGTTTCACAGATGAGCTGGGAAGGTGGCTCAGTGGTAGAGCGCTTGCCTTGCATGCTCGAGGCCCTGGGTTCGATTCCTCAGCACCACATAAGCAAAAAGAAAAAAGCCGGAAGTGGCGCTGTGGCTCAAGTGGTAGAGCGCTAGCCTTGAGCTGAAGAGCTTAGGGACAGGGGCCAGGCCCTGAGTTCAGGCCCCATGACCGGACCCAAAAAAAAAAAAAAAAGAGTTTCACAGACTTTCCCACCTAAGCTTAGGACCACAATCCTTAGATCTCAACCTCCTGAGTAGCTGGAATTATAAACATGAGCCACTAGTGCCTGGCCTGCATTTTTATTTTATTTGTTTGTTTGTTTGTTTATTGTCAGTGGTGGGGCTTTGAACTCTGGGCCTTGGCGCTGTCCCTGCACTCTTCAGCTCAAGGCAAGCACTCTACTGCTTGAGCCACAGCACCACTTCCAGTTTTCTAGGTTTATTGGAGATAAGAGTCTCATGAACTTTCCTGCCTGGGCTGGCTTTAAACCATGATCCTCAGATCTCAGCCTCCTGAGTAGCTAGGATTACAGGCATGAGCCACCCGGCACCCAGCTTGCATTTTTTTTTTTTTGGGTCCGGTCATGGGGCCTGAACTCTGGGCCTGAACGCTGTCCCTCAGCTCTTCAGCTCAAGGCTAGCGCTCTACCACTTGAGCCACAGCACCACTTCCGGCTTTTTCCTTTTTGCTTATGTGGTGCTGAGGAATCGAACCCAGGGCCTCTGTCATGCAAGGCAAGCGCTCTACCACAGAGCTACCTTCCCAGCCCGCATTTTTTATTTTTAAAGTACTTGATTTAGGGGAGTTTTGTTTTTTTAGTGTTGAGAATCAAGCCCAGGGTCTCCAGCATAGTAGGCAAGTGCTCTTTCTCTGAGTACCACCCCCATAACCCTCTTGATGTATTTTTTAATCTTATAATAGTGACATACCCTTTGTTTAAAAAAATAAACACTACAAGAGTATAACACATGTGCTTGAAATTCCTTTAACAGTTTGCTGCATATTTTCCAACACTTAAATTTTTTTTCAACTATACACATTTTGTTTGTTTGTCCAAAAGTAGAATTAATCTCTCCAGTTTGCTTCTTTCATTCATCTTGGACAGGCTCCATGTTAACACAGATGGATGTCCCTTTTCATAACATCTGCATAGTGAACATTTATTGAGTGTGTATATCATTCTTCCTTGGCCAAGTCTCCTATTGAAGGAATTTAGTGTCTGTATTTTTCCAGTTCTTCAAGCTGTGCTGTAGTTAGCATAATCAAAGGTTTAGTTCCTTAGTGACTTCCTGTAGCTTTTATATCATTTGGATTTTTTGTGGTGGGGAGAGAGGAAATGATTCTCCTACCTCAGCCTCCCAAGTAATTGGGATTCTAGGTAGGGCTAATATTGGTCCCTTTTTTTTTTTTATTTTGTTTTTTGTTTATCTTTGAGACACAGTCTTACACTATATAGCTCAAGCGGGACTGGAACTTACTCTTAGACCAGAATGGGCGCACAGTCTGATCCTCCAGTCTCAATCTCAGTCTCCTAAAAATGTGCTCCACTATCTCCGGTTTGATCATTTAGTGTTTTGTTGCTTTTTTTTTTTTTTTAATTTTGGGATCTCAACTTTCTGAGATCACAGGTTGGGGATACCTTACAGGGCAATATGTGATTCTGTTTGTGTCTGTGTGTGTGAATATCTGTGTCTGTGTGTCTATGTGAGTATGCATGAGGGCCGTGGAGTATGTATGAACTTTGTTCACTTTTTTACCACTTGAACCATACCTCTACTTCTGGCTTTTCACAGGTTAATGAGAGATAAAAGTCTCTTGGACTTGTCTGCCCACATTGGGCTTTAAACTTTGATCCTCAGATCTCATTCTCTTGAATAACATGGAATATAGGCACAAGCCACTGGCTGAATATTTGGTTTTGAAGGTATCATATGTCCGTCTGTTAGTCCTAGGGTAGGCTCATAGTTGAGTTCATCAAAGCCTTTGAAAGAATCACTGATTTCTTCATGTTCTCAGTAGTGCTGATGGACAGCTGATTAATGAATACCTCTTTACTGTCAGACCCTGTGGTCTAGGCTTGATTTTCTGATGAATGAATGGTTTGTGCTATACTGAAGAGTCCATGTGATGAGTACATCAAATCTGTAAACACACAGATGTGAATATAATTTAGGTAGGGAATCTAACCTCTTCCACGCAGTAAAGAAGCAAAGATGTGGTATGATGATGTCAAACATACCAGCCATGGTGGTTTCAAGATGGTGGGGATGCAACACATGTCACTCAGTGCTGTAGGCTAGAGGAACGGGTCCTCCACAGTGTCCACTCCCTCTGCATGAGAAATGCATTATGTTCCTTTTCTTACGTCTTGTCTTGCCTGCCTACTTAAGTAGACAGCAAATGTCTACTGGCTCAAAGACAGAGGTTGCCTTTTAAGAGAAAGTATGGTTGATTTCAAGCATGTTCTCCCTGACCCCATAGAACTTCCATGGTTGTTTTACAGAACCTGGAGCTGGTTGAAAAAGGCTTCAGTAACTTGAGGAAACAAATAGAAAATGCCAGAATGTTTGGAGTTCCTGTGGTAGTGGCCATAAATGCATTCAAGTAAGTACCCTGTAACAGAAAAGGGAAGCTGTGGGAAATGGACATAAAACACCTGTAGCTAATTGTGCGGCACTGTGTTACCCTCATTCTGTCCGACAGTTGTTATAGCTTATGGTATAGCCTGTGACGTGACAAGCACCAGGTGTATTGCAGCAAATTTAGCACCTGTGGGCCTCTCTTCCTCTGGGTGAAGTAGATAATACACAGGCTTCAAGTTAAGTGCTCTTTTTGGTCATGTAGAGGCCTTTTGTGCTAACAGCCTAGAGTTCCTGGTGGGATGTTGTCTTGATAGAGTTGAATGTATTGAGCAAGTTGTTCATGCAAGATCTCATGTGGGTTGTTTTGCATTGTGCCATAATGGGACTGGAAACAGAATTTTTCAAAGCTAGCATTTATTGATCTCCAGTGGTATGCTGGGAATGTTCAAGTACTTTACATATATTTGCCATCTAAACCTCGTAATATCCCCCATGAAATAAATGCAGTGATTCTTTCTATTTAATCCATGTGCAGCCAAAAGTCACCCGAGCCAGTAAACTGTGGATGTGAGATTCCAACCAGTATGGATTAGTGTCCATTTATCACTGGGTAATCCATATGTGTTTTAGTGTCATAAAGAAGACCCGTGTGTTCTCTCCAGCCATCTTCCATTCACTAACATGAAATACTGGCTTCACAGGACTGATACCGAGGCTGAGCTGGGCCTCATCAGCCGCCTCGCCAGAGAGCATGGGGCATTTGATGCAGTCAAGTGCACTCACTGGGCAGAAGGGGGAAAGGGGGCTGTTGCCCTGGCTCAGGCTGTCCAGAGAGCAGCTCAGGCGCCCAGCAACTTCCAACTCCTCTATGACCTTCAGGTGGGTTGCTTTCTATATGCAAACAGCACAAAACAAAAAAGACACGATGGGCTTTCTGTACACCTCCCCCTGTGAGGATGCTGTGTTCAGCAGCTTCTGTCTTGCAGTCTGATCCCACATGAATAGATGCATGTTCACAGTCTGGACTCTCAGCTTTAGATACCTGTCCTAGAAACTGCAGGTTGCTGTTTACTCAAAGAATGGAGACCATGCAAGAACATTTGGGGAAGTTGGCGCATACAAGTCTTTTTGCCAGAAGAAGAGTTACACGCAAAACCAATAATTCAGTGTAGCCTTTCGCCTGAGATACCACTGTGTTGTAGAAAATTGGCAAAGGGCCGTGTCATTTCTCAGTGGTAGGGGAAAGAAATGTGCTTTCAACTTTACTTCTGGTACAGTGGCAGTAGGGGTTCAGAGGAGCTTCCTCATGTAAGCCAAAGCACCTTGGCAGGCTTCATCTTATTTCCATTATCAAGTAGACTGCATCTGGTCCCAGCAGAAGCAATGTTTACTGTATGACACAAGTTAATTAAGAGAAAGTTGGTTATTGTTGGATTATATTTTGTTTTCAGTTTGCTGTCCCATGTATTCTAAGACATGATTAGACATTAAGTAGTCTGTAACAACTGAGACTTGGTTAGAAATATGGGATATAGAGCTGGGAAGTTGGCTCAGTGGTAGAGTGCTTGCCTCGCATGCATGAGGCCCTGGGTTCGATTCCTCAGCACCACATAAGCAGGAAAAAAAAAAGCTGGAAGTGGCGCTGTGGCTCAAGTGGTAGAGCGCTAGCCTTGAGCTGAAGAGCTAAAGGACAGCGCCCAGTCCCAGAGTTCAGGCCCCACAACCGGACCAAAAAAAAGAAATATGGGATATAAATTACACTTAATTCTGCTTGTATGTTCTAGGCTAGTTTTGGCTTCACTTTTATTACTAGAATTTTATCACTTTTCCCTTTGCCAAGAGTTGACACTCTGCTGTTGACATTGACATTCTACTGCTTGGCTTTGGTTTTGTAGATGGGTTTGGAAATCATCTTCCTGGAAGATGTCATGAATATAAATTTGTACACAAATGCAAATTATCTGTAGGTATCCTGTCCAAAACTTGTCCAGAGTGTCTAAATCAGGAAGCCCAGGTCTTGAAGGCCAGCTGGAGTCCTGCAAGAAGTAGGGAAACAAGGACGCCAGCACATTTCTATTTGAAGCTTTTCTCTGTCCTGACAGAACAAACACCACTCTTTGTCTGAATCAGTATCTGCTAGTCTTAAATCACCGTCAACCAAAGTGCTTGTGTTTCATAAGTTCTAAGTATTGTCATTTAATAAACTCTAATTATAAGATTCATATGAAAGTAATCCATTATGTCTTTTTAAAACCATCATTGAGTGCTCTCCATAAACATGTCCATTATACAAAGTCCTTCATAAATTATCACTAATTAAAAACATAATTTTATATTTATACATAGATTATTATTTCTTTCCAAAAGCACAACTTATTTTAGTGTCAGTTGCTAGGAAATACAACCAGATCTATTGACTAATTTTAGTGCAGTGTTTAAATATGTGTTGTGTGTGTGTACATCTCTCAATAGATAGCTAATATATGAATATGTGCATATTAACGTTATATACAAATAGATACCTAGGTATATCTCTCAATATATGGGTAGTAACATTACCTCTGTACAACATTTTCTACTTACCAAATCTAGGATTTGTGAATATTTCTTGGCATTAAGATATTTGTAACCCAGTGAACTTCAGATTATTTGCATGTCTATATATTATATGAAAAATAACCTGTTGGAGACACTGACCTGGAATGTGGCCATATCTGAGATAAGCCCCCTCACACATATCCAATCACAGTCTTCCTCTCTTTCCTGCACTAGCTCCCAGTTGAGGATAAAATCAGGATCATTGCACAGAAGATCTATGGGGCAGATGACATTGAGTTGCTCCCTGAAGCTCAGCACAAAGTTGAAGTCTACACAAAGCAGGTAGGTGTTGGGTGAGCCCATTCTTTTATCCCTTCACAAAGCAGGTCTTACAGACAGAATCTTGGAGTCCTGCCAGCCCTGTGAGCCCCCCCCATTCCTTTTTTTTTTTTTTTTGCAGTTGTATGGCTTTAATTCAGGGGCTCAGCACTCTCCTTGAGCTATTTTGCTCAAGGCTAGTGCTCTACCACTTTGAGCCACAGTGCCACTTCCAGTTTTTGAGTGGTTAATTAGATATAAGAGTCTCATAGGGACTTTTCTGACCAGGCTGGCTTTGAACCATGCTCCTCAGATCTCAGCCTCCTGAGTAGTTAAGATTACAGGTGAGAGCCACCAGCACCTGGCTCACCATTTTAATTCTCTGGGTGGCAACCTTCTTTCTTCCAAAATACTGGGTAGCGAGTAGGTGATCCAGTACCAGATTATTTACTCACAGATGGAAGCAGAAAAGCTACAAGGAGGGGCTGGGAAGGTGGCTCAGCGGTAGAGCGCTCGCCTTGCATGCCTGAGGCCCTGGGTTCGAGTCCCCAGCACCACATAAGCAAAAAGAAAAAAGCCGGAAGTGGCGCTGTGGCTCAAGTGGTAGAGCGCTAGCCTTGAGCTGAAGAGCTGAGGGACAGTGCCCAGGCCCAGAGTTCAGGCGCCACGACCGGACCCAAAAAAAAAGACAGAAAAGCTACAAGGAAATAGGGAATATCCTACTAAATATTGAGAACCTCTCTGGTTTTCTTCTTATGTCTACCACAACTTGTTTTTGTGGTTGGTGTAGCTGGAACTTAAATATTCACTTGTGAAATATAGTTGGAGGTACTTAGTGCCTCACAAAATAGAGATCTCTGTTTTTCTTCTATAATAACTAAGCTGGAGGATAGTATAATGGAGGTAGATTATAAAGAGTCAACTGTTTCAGATAAATTAAAGAATTTCATGATCACAATGTACAGATGTTCTTTATTGCATTGTCAGGTTTTCGTTTGTCCCACCCTGTTGCCTTTTCTCCCCAGGGCTTTGGTAATCTGCCCATCTGCATGGCCAAAACACACTTGTCCTTGTCCCACAACCCAGAGCAAAAAGGTGTACCTACGGGCTTCGTTCTGCCCATCCGGGACATCCGTGCCAGTGTCGGGGCTGGTTTCCTGTACCCTTTAGTGGGAACGGTAAGTGAGGGTGGCAGGAACAGAGCTTGCTCATCTGTGCTTCTTATCATCGGAAATGAATTGCTAAAGCTGTCAAGCAAATGCCAAGTTAGCAGAGTTCATTGCCGAGGAGAAAGTTGCAGTCAAACCTATTATGATTAATCCTCTTACCATGGACCATACTGTTACCAATTCAAGTGTGATGCTGTGACTTCTTATTTGGATAAAAGATTTTATTTCTCAGGGACAGTTGGACCTCGATTAAATCAGGATAGGAAGATACGCCTACTTGATAGGCTGGGTTCCTGCCAATAGTAGCCCTTCAAATCCATGGGGAGTGTATTCACAGATTCAGTCATCCATGGATTGAAAATATTAGGGGGGGGAGAACGACTCAGATTGGTAGTGAGAGTGGGAACCTCTTTTGAGAAAGAGCAAGGATACTGGTTTGGGAATATTTATAATATCTTTGCCATTATGCATCTGCTTTATCTACACTGATAGGCACATGACTTTGTCTTTATGTCATCTGTTAGGTTTTTCTGCTAGATATGATGACCAATTCTTGTCCCTGCTTGTCCCCACACCTCACATTTATTTCTTAGAGTACAGAGGTAGAAACAGATCAGATTCAGTTTTAGAGACTATTGAATGGTACGCAGATGTCAAAATTGGGTTTTTCTCAAGTATCAGTGTTGTGTAAATCAGGCGCTGGTGGCTCACATCTGTAATCCTCAAGAGATCTGAGGATCATGGTCCAAAGCCAGCCCAGGCAGGAAAAGTCCATGAGATTCTTATCTCCAATTAACCACCAGAAAACCAGAAGTAGTACTTTGGCTCAAAGTGGTTGAGTGCTAGCCTTGAGCAAAAGAGCACAGAGACAGCACCCAGACCCTGAGTTCAAGCCGTATCCCCCCAAAAGAAATAATAAAAAAGATGTTCTGTGCTACAGAAGATGACTCATCTTTTTTTAAAATATATTTATAGTTCAGTTTTAGAAGTTCAGCTTAAGCTGTCTTATCCGGGTCTAATCTGGAATGTGTACATATTCATTATACGTGTATGACATTGTAACGGACAAAAAGATATACTCCAAGTTTTCACTTACAAGCCATATGAACTTTCATCTAAGCAGACATTTTACAAAACTAAATCTTACAACAGAAATCAGGAAGGCTGGGAATGTGGCTTAGTAGTAGACTGCTTGCCTAGCATGCATGAAACCCTGGGTTCAATTCCTCAGCACCACATACACAGAAAAGGCTTGGAAGTGGCTATGGCTTGAGTAAAAGAAGCTCAGGGACAGTGTTCAGGCCCTGAGTTCAAGCCCCAGGACTGGCAAAACAGAAAGAGAGAGAGAGTAGTGATTATAAAATCAGATTATATGAAGAGATGTCTTGTTGGCCCAAGTTAAAGGATACAAATTTGTAATACGTTGATGAAGCAAAAAACCATGAGCCTATTTACAGTCTCATGGAAAGAAAATTCGAGTACATCAGCCCTGTTCCTCTTGTCTTGGGAAACACAAGGCTGAGGAAAGTGGGTAGCTGGCTCCTCAGCCTCCCTGGCACCTGCCACTGCAGGATTGGATGTGGAAACATCTGCTTACAGCTGTCCACATGGAAGATAATGATGAGGTTCAGCCTTTGGTTTGCAGGACAAGAGGTTTTCTCTGAGTTGGTTGCAGGACCAGTGGCTGGATTTTGAATATATATAGAAAAAAAAAACAACAGCCACTTTATGAACAACTATAACACGATCCTCTATCATTGTGCCTTGGGCACAAGACACAAAGGAAGAAGTAGAAGAAAAGATCACGTTTTAAGTTCGTTTTTTTTTTAATTTTATTTTATTTGTGAACATACTGTACAGAGGGGTTACAATTACATGGGCAGGATAATGCATACATATCTTACCAAGCATTGCAGCCTCCTCCTTTGGTTTACCCTTCACATCCCTTCCCAGCCTCCCCCCTCCCTTAAGTTCGTTTTTAAGAAAGATGATTTCATATCCTAGATGAGCACAATGCCTGGCCTTCCTACTCGGCCCTGTTTTTATGATATTGACTTGGACCCTGAGACTGAACAGGTGAATGGACTGTTCTAAACAGGTAAGTTATTAATTAGTAAGATTTCCCTCCCCTCCCCCCCTTATTTGCTTCTTTATAAATTACAGGGCTTAAAGTAAGTCTACAAAAATTTAAATTCTAACACTTTCAAAGCATTTCCCTCTGGGTTTTGGGCTAGTCCTGAGAACTGGCAATAACCAGTGACTTAACTACTTCCATGTGGGTACATCTTGGGAAGAAGAGCAGGCCGCGTCCCAGGTGGACAGTGCACAGGAGAGTGCTGCAGAGCACTTGTGAAGGGCCTGCAGGAGGTTGGGCTCCCTCCGCTAGAGCCCTAGGAGCCTCAGGGCTTCAAAATTGATGGCACCTGAGAGGCAGGAACAGCCTAACGTCCGTATAATCTGAACAGAAATCAAGTTTTGGGCCAGGGATAAAGCTCAGTGGTAGAGCAAGAGTTTAGTATGTGACACTGTGGGTTCAATCCCCAGCAACACACATACACACAAAGGCAAGAGTTGTGTAAATGTCTCAGCCAGAAAGAGAAAGAAACAAGAGTTCTATGTGAAAAGGCAATTTAATCATCACAGTGTATGAACCGTCCCTAGATACAGCCAACTGAAACTCAAAAACGTCCGAAATGAAAATCCTTAACCCTTCTCCTGAGGGAAGATGTCTTTTTGGCACTGGTACTGGGGCTTGACCTCAGGATCTTGCGCGCTCCTTATCTTCTGCCGTTTGCTGTTTAGTTGGAGATAAGAGTCTCATAGTCTCTTCTGCCTGGATTAGCTTTGACTAGGATGCTTGCATCTTAGTCTCCTGTGTTGCTAGGAATACAGGCATGAGCTACTACTGCCTAGTGGAAAAAAATGTTTTACCTGTGGAAAAAATGAGAAGTAAACTGAACACTTGTCTTATCAGCAATGAGAAGCCCTTTTAGACAGTGCAGGAATGTCCTCCACATTTGTAAGAGGAATGGTAACGTTCAAGCCATGTTTATACAGGACAGATCTGTGTAGATGTTACCAAATGTGCAGAGGTTTGCTGCCCCCAATTCTAGGAAGTTAGCAATTTACTACAGCAAAGTATGAAATTAAACCAAGAAAAGATGAAAACACTAATTTCAGACATGGAATCCTGATTTGGGCCATAATGAAATACTGACCACCATGCATATTTGTTCTAAGTCCAGTGCAGAACAAGGGAAAGGAGGACTTTGAGAAAAATTAGAAACAGCTAAAAAGAAACACAAGTATTGGGGCTGGGAAGGTGGCTCAGTGGTAGAGCGCTTGCCTTGCATGCATGAGGCCCTGGGTTCGATTCCTCAGCACCACATAAGCAAAAAGAAAAAAGCCAGAAGTGGTGCTGTGGCTCAAGTGGTAGAGCACTAGCCTTGAGCTGAAGAGCTGAGGGACAGCGCCCAGACCCAGAGTTCAGGCCCCACAACAGGACCCCCCCCCCAAAAAAAAAAAGAAAGAAACACAAGTATCAAAGGCCAATACAGGCCAGGCACTGGTGGCTCATGCCTGTAATCCTAGCTACTCAGGAGACTGGGATCTGAGGATGTGGCTTAAAGCCAGCTTAGACAAGAAAGATTATAGACTCTTATCTCCAATTAACCAGCAAAAGACTGGAAGTGGAGCTACGATTCAAGAGGTAGAGCAGCAGCCTTGAGTGAAAAAAACTAGTGAGTGTGAAAGGCCCTGAGTTGAAGATCTAACACCAAAGCTGGGCCCTGGTGGCTCATGCCTGTAATCCTAGCTGCTCAGGAGGCTGAGATCTGAGGATCACAGTTCAAGCCAACCCAGACAGAAAAGTCAGTCATGGGGCTTAAATTCTGGGCCTGGCTGCTGTTCCTGAGCTCTTCAGCACAAGGTGAGAACTTGAGCCACAGTGTCACTTCCGTTTTTTTGGTGGCTAATTGGAGATAAGAGTCTCACAAACTTTACTGCCCTGGCTGGCTTTGAACTATAATCAAATCTCACCCTCCTGAGTAGTTATGATTACAGGCATGAGCCACCAGCGCCTGGCTCTCCATGAGACTTTTATCTTCAATTAACTACCTGAAAACTGGACATAGAGCTGTGGCTCAAAGTGATAGAGTACTAGACTTGAGTAAAAAAGCTCAGGGACAGAACCAAGGCCCTGATTTCAAGCCTCATGCCTGACCAAAAAAAAATCTGGTCCCAACATCAAAAAAAAAATTTTTTTAAGCAATATAAAACAAAGCAGAAGTTCTTGCATTGCATGAAAAAGTGAAGTTCTGATGAAAGCAAAATGGTCATTTTGGCTATGGTAGGGTGGGAAGAGACTCTGAGCTTGGGGCTGGGATACTAACTTTGAAAAAGTAGGTGGTAGCTGGGCGCTAGTGGCTCATGCCTGTAATCCTAGCTACTCAGGAGGCTGAGATCTGAGGATCTCGGTTCAAAGCCAGCCCAGGCAGGAGAGACCATGAGACTCCTATCGCCAATAAACCACCAGAAACCGGAAGTGGCACTGTAGCTCAAGTGGTAGAGCGCTCACCCTGAGCTGAAGAGCTGAGGGACAGCACCCAGGCCCAGAGTTCAAGCCCCACGACCGACAAAAAAAGAAAAGAAAAAGTAGGTGGTTAGGTGCCGGTGGCTCACGCCTGTAATCCTAGCTACTCAGGAGGCTGAGATCTGAGGATCCTGGTTCAAAGCCAGCCCAGGCAGGAAAGGCTGTAAGACTCTTTTTTTTTTGCCAGTCATGGGGCCTGAACTCTGGGTCTGGGCACTGTCCCTCAGCTGTTCAGCTCAAGGCTAGCGTTCTACCATTGGAGCCACAGCGCCACGTCCGGCTTTTTCTGTTTATGTGGTGCTGAGGAATCGAACCCAGGGCCTCATGCTTGCAAGGCATGCACTCTACCGCTGAGCTATGTTCCCAGCCCCAGGCCGTAAAACTCTTATCTCCAATAAACTGCTCAGAAAACTGGAAGTGGTGCTGTGGTTCAAGTGGTAGAGCACTAGCCTTGAGCTGAAGAGCTGAGGGACAACACCCAGGCCCAGAGTTCAAGCCCCATGACTGACAAAAACGAAAAGAAAATATATAGGTGGTGTGGACATACAGTCCTGCCTTGCTGCTGTGGTCTTAAACAGTGTCCACATAGCTGTTGTGTACTGCCTCTTCTGAACAGACAGCAGAAATCCTCGTGGTGGGAACGGATGGAAATCTCAACAGCTGCGGCAATGCTAGTGGGTAATCATGCTGTGAGGAAGACAAGAGCAAATGTTTTGGTGATTAAACAAAATACTTCTTTGCCTTTCTTTCCAGATCATCTCTTCTTCAAGAAGCTGCTTTGCAAGTTTGGCCAATGTCTGTTCAGGCCTGCTGTGAGTAAGGAAGTTTGGAGAAGTTAGAGAAGTCAACTCCTGCCCTGAAAACTAAAATAAATCTTCTGGGGGATTTCCTCAGAAGCCTTTCGATTACTGCCTTAATTTTCATCCTCATGTATAAATTAATATAAATCATGTTCATGTCTTGAATGTAGTGAAGGTCTATCAAATAAAAGGAATGATTTTGCTATCCTCGTGTTGAAATATAAATCATGGTATCCATGGTCTGTGGTGCAGTATGCTATCATCTTGTATGAGCCCATTTGTTGGGCAGTGTGTTTAAAGGAGAAACTGAGGGCATGCTTGGGCAGCTCTGGGGATAGGTAATTCAGAAGAAGGCTGGAGGAGGTAGAGTATGGAGCAAGACTTGCCTCTTGCTTTACATCTTTCTATATTGTTAATCCCCACCTTCCTCAAATATTGTGTGTGTGTGTGTGTGTGTGTGTTGGTATTGGGGATTAAACTAAAAGCCTCATGCACTCCCTTATATTTTTCCACTCAAGGCTGGTGCTCTGCCACTTAGCCACAACTCCACTTCTGGCTTTTTGCTGGTTAATTGGAGATAAGAATCTCATGGATGGCTGGGCGCTGGTGGCTTCTGCCACCAGTAATCCTAGCTACTCTGGAGGCTGACATCTGAGGATCACGGCTCAAAGCCAGCCCAGCAGGAAAGTCTGTGAGACTCTTATCTCCAATTAACCACCAGGAACCAGAAGTAGCATTGTGGCTCAAGTGGTAGAGCACTTATCTTGAGCTGAAGAGCTCAGGGACAGTGCCCAGGCCCAGAGTTCAAGCCCTCTCACCAAAATATAAATATATATATATATATATAAAAATCTCATGGATGGACTTCTCTGCCTGGGCCAGCTTCAAACTGTGACCCTCAGATTTCAGCCTTCTGATTAACTAAGATTACCATTTTGAGTCACCAGGGCCCAGCTGTACTTTACGTAAGTAGCGGTGAAACGTTTTTTCCACTGAGAAGTAGCTCTTACTCCATTAACTGTTGAGTCCATCTTTTTTCTTATGGCTGTATATTATGTCAACTGTCTTCTGTTCTCTACTGTGGGTACTTATAATTCCTATTTTAATTATTATTTTAATTTTTTGTACTATGACTTGCATTGTTTCATAAAGTCTGCTACTGAAAATAATGTTGCAGAGCCAGGCCTGGTAGTTGGCATGCGCAGTGCACACACACACACACAAAATAGCAGTGGGGCTGAAACTATAGCCCAGTGGTAGAATGTTTGGCTAGCCTAAAGCCCTGGGTTTGATTCTCCTGCACACACAAAAAAGAAAACAAATAATGTGGTAATGAATAGATGCTGGTAGAAAAAAGAATTCACATGTATTTTTACAACTGGTGCAAAAGCATCTATTAGATAAATTCTGAGCAGTGGGCTTCAAAACAGAAGCCAGTCTTGGATTGGCAATGTGTGTAGTAAATTATAGCACAACAGATCTTTCTATTCAGTTTATAGCCTCATTTTACCAAAAGGCAGACTTGGAGTTGCACTGCCCAATGAACTTGTCATCTGATTCTGGAGACTCTGCTTCTGGCTGCCCCTCTGAGCTCTTCCTCCTGCCAGGCTGTCAGAGGTAGAAAGCTGTGTCCATTTTGTATCTCTCCAGAAATGAGGGATAACAAAGGTGCTAGATGCAGAGGGGAAAAAATAAAGAGGTCAGGGATGCTCCTGAATCTCCCACTTGACAGGGATTTTGTGCAATTGATACTTGATCTCTGCTAATGAAGAAGTGTCACAGGTCAAGTGGGAACTTGTCTTCAGGATCTGCAGAAGCATTAGTACTTGGGGTGCAGATTAGTGGGACTCCAGAGATGGCCCAGTACCTTTACCTTGGGGCTGGAAGGCCCTGATTCAGCCAGTGTGTTCCCCTGACCCATTCTTAGCCTTCTCTGGTCTGTTAAGGCCTTCCTTGCACATATTATAACGTTACTGATAAACAGATTGTTCCGTCCCTTATCTGCACCTCAGAGGCTGCTGCTGTGCCTTGAGGATGTCTACATACCCTTAATTCAGCAAAGATGGCGGCATTGCGTGCTGCCAAGTACAGCAGATTGCAGCAGAATGACTTGGATCTGTGTCAGCTTCCTATGACCCTCATGGTGCCCACAATAGACCAAGCCACTAGGCCCATCTAATGGAGTACCAGGGCAAGGGGGTTTCTGCAAGGTGAGAATTTGTAACGAGGAATTAAACATTTCGGGTAGCTACAGGCTTGGACTGTGGGTGGATAGGGGCCAGACTGGAAGAAATGGTGTTCAGATAAATATGTAAGCTCTTTTGTTGGCACACTGTATCTGGTGATGTTAACAAGCTCAGCTGCAAATAGGATCACTTCCATTCAGTTTGGAGAGACATTTATAGGCCACTTTTTGCTGCTAGGCAATGCAAAGCTGCTAAGGGAAGAGTAAGCCGGGATGTGGGGCACTGCTTCCAGGCTTAACTGTCACTGTGCACTAAGGATGACAGGTTTCTTTCGTGCTGAGACGCTAGATACATTTTAGGAACATCTGCACCAGGCTGTAGTCATAAAACTACCATGTAGCATTTATTTATAGAATATTGCAGTGACTGCTTGAATGTGATAAAGGTCAGGGACTAATTACTTGTAATACAACGCAGAGGAATTCTCTTCATTTATTCTTCAGATACAAGATACATCCACCTCTGACCTCAAAGTACCTTCCAGCTTCTCCCCCACCGCACACTTTTGTGTGTGTGTGTGTGACAGGCTTTGCTATGTAGCCCAGGTTGGTCTCCAATTAGAAATCCTGGCCTGGTTCTGGGTTATAGCCACCATACCCAGTTCTCAGTGGGGTTTTTTTGGTCTTTTTTTTTCTTTTTTCTTTTCTCTTTCTCTGTTTCTTTTTTTCTTTTTTTTTTTTTTTGGCCAGTTCTGGGGCTTGAACTCAGGGCCAGGGCCTGGGCTCTGTCCCTGAACTGCTTCAGCTCATGGCTAGCGCTCTACCATTTGAGCCACAGCACCACTTCTGGGTTTTTCTGTCTATTTTTATTGGAGGTGAGAGTTTCACTGACTTTCCTGCCCAGGCTGTCTTCAAACCATGATCTTCAGATCTCAGCCTACTGAGTAGCTAGCTAGGATCAGAGGCTGAGCCACAGGCGCCCAGCTAGGATACACTTTTTCTTTTCTTATTTTTTATTGTTATTATAAAGGTGATCATACAGGACACACCTAACTTTTGTAAGTTTTGTTTGTTTGTTTGTTGTCAGTGCTGGCGGTTGAACTCAGGACTTCCAGCTCTCGCCCGGCTTTCAGGCTCACCAGAACTGGAGGTGTGGCTCCAATGGTAAGGCCGTCCAAGCCCAGCATTTCGCTGGTTAATTGGAGATTAGAAGGACGCTAGGCTCTTCTGCCAGGCTCTCCGATCTCTAGCTAGATCTCAGCCTGCGCTGCAGCGCTGAATTCCGCTTTTAAAGATCTGATATCCGCCCTGTCATTAGCTCCTGGGGGCGGAGGTTACCATGAGAGCACCTGCACCGTGAGACCGGATTTTGCTACTTCGTCTCCTCCGCATCGCCCGGCCGGGTGGCTCAGTGGTCCCTGCGTCTTTGCCCCGATGTGGTCCCGCACCGGGGCTTCGCGCCCCGCACCCGGGGCGTGGAGATCGCTCCCACGCGGCGGGGCAAAGCGCTCGCACGTGGGTCCCTAGCTTGCCGCCCCGCCCCGCCGCCCCCGGCCCTGGCGCGGCCCCCTGCTCGGCGCGGATTGGCGCCGGGGGGCGCCGCCGGCTGCGGTTCTTTGGCGCAGGGCCCTCGCTCCCGCACCACGGCGGCTCCCCCGCTGCCGGAGTGCATGCCGACCTTGGCAGCGGGGCTGACCCGGGACCCCGCGCGCGCTCTCGGTAAGCCAAGGTGGGACGGGGAGGCTCGCGGGCAGTGTGCGGGTCCGCCGGACCCCGCGCGCGGGCATCGGAGCGGTGGGGGGTGGAGGGAGGTCCCCCCCCCGCACCTCGGGCCGCGCGTGGGGTCTGCCGGCATCTCAGCCCCTCCGCAAGCTCGGCTTGCCCGCAGCATTTCCCCCAACGGTGCGGGAGGAAGGGGGGGAGCTGTGATCGTTTGAAAGCTGTCAGCTTGGAAGTGGGGCTCGGTTCCACGCCCCCGACAGCAGCCTGCCCCGGGCGCCGGGCCGGGAGCGCCGCCTTCGTCCTGGCTTCCTCCGGGGCGGCTGCGCCTCGCTGCCCGAGGGGCCGGGGCCGGAGGTTGGCAGGGTCTCCGGAGGCGCTACAGCTCCCCTCGGGTGGAAGGCGCGCCCTTCGCTGCAAAGTTTCTCATCGTCTACAGGCTCTACCCCCCCCCATTCCAGTGAGGCTTCTGTTTGGGTATTAATTTCTACAGAGTGATATTATTATATTCACTTGAGCTTCGCAAGCAACTCTCGGGGCCAGTCAAGCTAGGTTCCAACGATCCATTTCTAAATGTGAGCTAATTTCAGTGTTTCTACTAGCAGTACACTCTCTGCTTAATTTAAAAACAAACCCAAAAACCTCAGCCCTGGAGAACTGCAGAGATGAGGGGGGAAGTGCTAATCAGCGGAGGTTCTAGTGTTTACTGAAGTATGTGTGGAGAGAGATGCTGTAAAATCTCCGTGTGTGTGTGTGTGTGTGTGTGTGTGTGTGTGTGTGTGTGTGTAGAAGGGAGAACTGGGGTTTGAACTCAGAACCTCGTGCAGCTGTTCCTGTTTTCTATGGATGTGCTGGAATGACTTTATCTTTTTGTGAGAGGCATGGAGTATGCAGTGCCCATTCGGAGCCCATAAAATGGTTTTGCAGGATTCTGGTTCCTTCTACATCTCATGGAATTAAGGACTACCCAAATGAGGCTTCAGAGGTTTACATAAAAAGGGTCCTTTGTCTAAATTAAGATTCATACTAGCTAAATCCATAGAATTTTTGTTAAATGATCATTTATACCTCTATTCTTTGCTGTCTCCTGTGTGTGTGTGTGTGTGTGTGTGTGTAGAGGGGAGGGATGCTTATTGTTTGTTTTGAGCTGATTTTGCTGTGTCCTTGAACTCCCTATTCTTTCTCAGCCTCCTAAGTAGTGGAATGCAAATGATAGTTTTATAATACCAAAAGCTCAGAGTCATTTGATTCAATTATGAGTTGATAGGTTACATTATGGCTAATTTAATGACCATTTACCAAC